AGGACATTACTGCTTACTATCTCTCTCTCTCTCTCTCCTCCTCTCTCTCTCTCTCTTTCTCTCTCACCTTATGTTATCTTCTTAACTCTAGTAAAGGTATACTCTCTTTCATCTTTTCATATGTTTTGAAATTTTAAACTATCACTAGTGAAGTATCTATCACAAACCAATGAATTCATAGGACATTTCTTATCACACATACTTTACTAAACTCTTCAATGCTATCAGTTCTCATTCAATTCCATCGTACCAATTCTTTTTCATTCTTTCATTTCATGCAAAATGTAATTTAAATATTCCTAAAAATTGCGTCATAAAAGGAGACACATAATTTATAAGAGACATAGCATCGATCGTCATTCAAAATACCACTATCTCCTACTTCCACCAATACCGAGAATCTCTCTCTCTCTCTCTCTTACACATCTTCTGCTATATCCCAACGATTTATGTATGCTTCATTAGCAAGAGACCATACTTATATGTTTATCCCTCATATATTTCAATGGTTCAATGTTTTCTTAACTATTAAACATGTCAAAAATTTCGTTTGGACAGGATGATTCATTCGGCGATTTTATAATTTCTCTTTATTGCTAAGATTTCTCTTTTTAATTCTTACAATTTTCCAAATCTTTAAAGGCTTTTCAAATTTTAGGGAAAAAAAAGAAAAAAATTAATTTTCTCATTCCATTTCTTCCATTTCATAACACTAATTTGCAAGCTAAATTTGTCAGAATTCATTCAATTGTTTTAATTCATTTAAAACATAATTAAGGGAAATAATAATTTTAATTTTACCCGAACAAATCACACTTTATTTCAAAAATTTGAATTTTACAATGTAATTAAAGATTTTATGGAATTGAATTAAGTCTGAATTGCTTGCAACACTATGTCAACTGCCAACTATAGGGTGAAATGGCTGAAGAACGGATAAAGATGCCCAACCACCTGTTAGCAATCCAATAAACACTGTCACAAACAGGCGATGAGTCATAACGAATGAATCAGCAAAAAGGACAACATACATCGGATACATGCTGCTGACTGGCAATAGGCCAATCCAAGCATAGGAGGAACGAGGCATATTTTGATTCTCTTTTGGAAGACGGTTGACATATGTCAAGTCTCACGTATTTCACGTGATAGGTAGAAGAAGTGATCAAGGGATGTTAACGATCGGACAAATGGATGGATGTAAGGTTGTGATAACAGTTGGGTTGGCTAAATCAGCAGTAGCATGATGCCATCATCCATCGTTCCACCTTTTCTCTCATCATCGTCTTTTATTAAACCAGTTTATTTTCAAACTTAACATCTTCTGTTGATTTTGTTTCGTTTATTGAATTTCGAACCGTTCAGTGATTATTTAGAAGACTGTTGAAAGACATGAAAAAATGTTATCGATAAATTCGGAGAGATAGAGGGAGAGAGAGAGAGAGAGAAGAAAAAAAAAGAGAGAGAGAAGATAGGAAGTTCGCTCGCTTTCATTTATTCTGTCAAATTTTTGCTGGAGAAAAAATGATCTATAAATTGAAATCTTAAAAAGTAAAGAAGGAGGCAAATGAATGCACCATAGTGATAACCAGACAAGCAGTGATATCAGAGAAGTTAGTGTGTTGTTAGTGGGTACATTTATGAGGCTCATAGGAAGGATAAAAGCCTAGAGCTATCCGTAAGGCTATTTAAAAAAAGATTTGGTAAAATGGATGTTATCGAAAATTGCAAATAATAAATGATATATTTAAGATAGGAAAATGTCAGATAATATGTTCTCTCAACGGACGCGATTGCGACAGTTTGAATTAATCGTGGAGAAGAAAAGTATTTTCGTCAATGCTCACTATTTGGCGGAATTGTCTCCTTATTTCAAAATGCTCTGTTTTGGAGATATGTTTCGGTAAATCGCTTGCTACTTTATTATAATTAATGAATATGCATTAGCTTTGGTGATACAGCTAGCTAACAGATAATAGAGCTAGCAGAAAAAGTTATACTCTTAAGGAAACAACCAGATGGATTCGTGATTGATTCGAGGCGGTAAAATATATAACTGTGATTCTTCGAAGCTTTTAATGACTATCGTCTAAAACTGGTTATCGTCTAAATTGTAATTCCTGTAATTGCGAAAGGGTTGCGAAGTCGCATCTTTCTGAATTCTGCTGTTTTTTGAATTGACATAGTTGATCATGCTTCCTTCAATTACAGGGAAGCACAGAATGGTCGCGCTGAGATAGAAGATGAAGCATACGACGAAGTTATTGAACTACTTCGTTTTATATGTCCCAACGATGATTATGTTATCAATAGAAATATCACGGGTAAAATTCTTACAAATGTATTGTTTTATTATGTTTGAGGTTGCTGAAGTTTTGGAATCTTTCTAAAAGTTAAATTATTTTCGGTCAAAGAATGATCTGTAAGTTGAAATCTTAAAAATAAAGATGGAAGCAAATGAACGCATAGGAACCATAGTGATAACCAGACAACGCATAGGAACCATAGTGATAACCAGACAAATAGTGATATCAGAGAAGCAGCTCAGCATGGGAGAAATTGCAGACTTTTTTGAAAATAGATTTTTGGTTTCTGTTTCTTATCCGTTATATGAAATATGACTTCACTTCATAAAATTTATTATTTCTTTTGCTGTTCATGGTCGAATAATGAAGAGAGAAACAGGAATGTTGTGAAGCAAAACCTTTCATATATTACTTAAAAGGACTTCGAAATTTCGCCATTTTTTTTTTCAGAGAGAAATTTCCCTCTGCTTACTCATTTCTCAAATCTAATGCAGTTACGAGATTTACGGTGTCAGCTTGAAAGTTACGTTGAAAATGAAATTTGTATGGAGAAATGTAAACCAAAGGATGAGAATTTACTGGAGATGATAATTGAAGCATTGAATGCTTCTTTTCCATCAGACCTCATGGATATCATGTATAAGAAATTGGCTCGAGTTGATTTGGATCATATTAAAGCAGTAAACTTTAATAGTTCATGATTCTATAGTTCAATTGCATTTAAAAGTAGTTGAAACATTCTAAACTGCACTATTTGTCGTACAATTGACGGAATCATTTCTTCAATGAGTTTTTGGAAAAAAAATTAGGATTTTAGATGAAAAAGCTTTTTTTCTTTTTTTCGGTGACGTTGAGATACGCAATCTGTTTCAGCTTATCAAAGATCTTCCGGACCATTATTCGCAAGCAGTATTAGAAGGTGCTCAAAAATTTGTAAGCTCGTTTTTCTTTTTTCATATTTCCAGAACATGAAGGGAATAATTATTTGAATTAACATGAGGTGGAATGAAACCAATCCTGTTTTCTGATATTACAGTTTCTTTTGCAGTTTCGTGTCTACCCTATGCAGTTGCCGTATCGATCGTCTTACAATTATGATCAATTCCAGCTGGGAATCTTTTACGAAAATCTTCCCAAGCAGTGCAAATATATTGAAAAGTTCTTTGCATAAAATGTATCCTTTAAATTTCACTCTCATATCCATTGCTTATATTGTATGCGTCGAAAGTCTCAATTATATCATAATTGTAAGACGTTGCATTTCCTATTGCTGTACTCAAAAAGCTGGCGATACTCACCGGCAAGTCATCTTTCTCGTTCGCAGTCTAATTTTAAAAACTTCTGTCTTCTACTTTATGTATTTTTTTTTTTTTTGCTTTAGTCAGCTCTTTGAAATATTACTCTTGCGGTGCTTTAATATTTACTATTGATGAAAATTTTTTAGAAATTCTCTATCAAATCTCTCTGTTATATTCTTAATTATATTCAATATTACTAACTCGATGTTACTCTTACGTTACTTTAATATTTCCTTTCTTTTTCAGATACAAATTCCTGAAATCTGAGAGGTTTCAGCTGTTTTAAATTTCTAAATTTAGTCTTGCTGGAGGCTCTTTTGAATGACCAGTTGAAATTCCCAATCTCTCGAAATGCGCTCCTGGGTTTCACATGCATTTGTCAAATACTTTTGTTCTGTTGTTTTATCCTTCATGATGTTGCAATTCCCGAATTTTAGTTCGGAACGAAACTTTGTTATTTTTGATGAAAGTTCGAGGGATTTCAAATTTAGGGAAGAAAAATGATTGAAAAAGATAAAACTTCGTTTGATTATTGCTTACTATTTTTAATCAGTGCCGTTAATACCGTATTTATCAGTATTTTATACCACTTTTCTATGTTTGCTACAATTTCATTTTATTTTAATTTAGCTAGTTCTGCATACATTAACATGATCTGTTTCGGTTCACTGAAATCTAATTTTCATTACTATTCTTTTGCTACATCAGAAGTATATCCTTTTTTTGTATATTGTACAGTAATTGCAAACGTGATGCTATTTAAAACTTCTGTTATTTGTTCAATTCGAGAAACAAGCCTATTTATTTGTAGATTTCTAGAATGATAAGCTTGGAAAACTCCGACCATGTCATGATTCCTTTACGGATAACATCCTTTTTTCCAAGTACTGCATGGTGCTAATTTGAAATCATTTGTTAATTTTCAGATAAATTAATTAAACCAGCTTCGGTGTTCTTTTTTATTATTCAATGACATCGTTTTTTTTTTTTCGGTTTCCATTTACATAACCATCCTGAAATAGCTATGTTACACAAATGTAATGGTATCTTTTCTGAAGAGGAAAATACATGAAAAAAATATGGGCGTCTGGATAGTTTCCAATTTGTGGCACAAATAGAAAGAGTTTATAAAGTTTTTGAAGCTATTACTATAATATCGAAACTGTGGCACTGAAAATGTGACAAATTCAAATATTCAAATGAGACATGCAGATAGCACATTTGCAAACATTACTTCACTAATAATTAAGTATCAAATAAGCACTATCAAGTATTATTTGAATTGGGATATTGAATTTCTATCATTTTCCTTTTCCAATGTTCTGGTTTTTCTTTTCATACCATCAGTCATTTTCTTCATTTTGCTTCTTATATCATCAAAGCGGGCATCACAATCAGCGGGAAAGACATCTTTAAAAATTGTGGTTCAAAGAGGTCAAGCAAACTATGAAATCAATGATCCATGTTAATAGAGGATGTCGTTTAATTTTACAATTTCTTAAGTTGCAGAAGTTGCATAAAATGGAAATTAAATTGTGATCATATCAATGATATTTTATTCTTGAATTCAAATAGCTTTGGTTATTTGTTTATTTGACTTAAAGATGAGTGGATGCAAAAAACTCTTGCACGAAGTTTTAAATGATATTTCAAATAGTGGTTGCAAAACACCTGAGCATGAGCTTTCAAGTATCACCTATCTTTTCCGTTGGATTATACCAATTGTACGACCTGCTGGTTTGTTATTTCAGCTAAGTAATCACTTCATTTTCAATCATTTAATTTGCTTACTACTAAAGACTGATTGCTTGATTTCAAGTATCACTTGCTACGTTTTGATAAGACTAAGCACCAATACAACATTTGCTGATTTCTTTGTTGGATTTTGGCTTTTCTCTGCGGTTGAAAAAGAATGCTTCTAACTGCACCATAATTAATTAAATAATCGAAGGTAATACGGAGCATACCTTTTCAGGTGCTTCATTGTTTCAACAAACACATTTTTATACGACATATGAAGCATTTGCTTACGAATGGTATGTGAATGGGATTACTTTATCATCCATTTGAATTTGTTTGAAATTGATTTCAAAATCTTGAAAATAATGAAATAACAGCACAGTGTGTTTTGGCCAAATAAAAAAAAAAAACTTTCTCAAATGCTCTACCTGACCTTTTGACCCATGGTCGCATCATAACATTAATTAGTGAGACCAGAAATGAAAATTTAATTCACTTCAATTTTATTGTACATTATTGTAGTTTTCAGGACGATCAACTTCATAGGATCACCACAATGGCCTGAAATGAAAACGGTCTGGAGATTATTTGTCGATCACTGCAAAGTATTTACCCAACCAACTCCATTAGCAGTAGTATTTAAGTTGCAGCTGATGAAAGGTGAAGAATGTTGTAAGTTATTTTCATTAATTGAAATTGGAAAATTCATTTATATTAAAAGAATGAAAATTTTCCGATGGCGAAGAAAGGAAACTGATAAATGTGGACAAAATTTCTAAATGAAGAAAATTTGAATAAACAACAAGAATGAATTTGGGAGTTCATTTTATTTAGTTATGCTTAAAACTTGAAGAAAGTTACAGCACCACAAATTGTCTCAGTGCCGGATTCATATCATTCGACATTTTTTTCGAGCGGGAATTATCGCCTTTTTGAAGGGAATCCGCTACTCACTTCACTGTCAGAAGGTTATTTTAAAATTGAAAATTTAAAAATTTAGGAAAAAGAATTTTTCCAAATTCTTTTCATTGATATACAAAATATCTAGTAGGCACTTATTCAGCTTTTAATATACACTCACGGTGGCATGGTGGTCGTGCAATGCTTACTGTAGAAATGAGTTTTTCTGCTAGCGATTTCCGAATACAAATCAATAAAACTTTACCAGTACAATCATTGCTCAAAGATTGCGATTTTCGCAGAAAGCTTAAAGATATTTATCAAAATATTGAGCCGTAAGTTTAGTTTTTGAATTAAAAAAAGCAGTAAGGCAAGTAAATAAGTTAATTATGAATGGAAGTAGAATAGATAAGGTTAAAATGTACTCTTTTATAAATTAAAAATATTTGATCGAAGTATCCAGTAGAACTGTTTCAGATATAAACGAAAACTTTCAGTGGTAATTGTGGATTATTCTGAATTTATAAGAAATGGATTTAAACTACTCTTTCTATAAATCACTGAATAAAGATGAATTAGCTATAAATCGTTTCTGAATTCAAATAATGAACTTTGTCCAAATTATATTCAAACGAAAAAAGAAAATGATTAAAACAATTTGTTGGTGGTTTGAAGCAGGAGGTGTGAGTAATAATTTTGAATATTTAAGAAAACTACTTGTAGAAAAAATGAACCATGAAATACCGGTCCAAAAGAGAGGACCCAGAACTCGGGTTTACTGCAACATTCCCGTAATATAAAGAATAGTGTATTGTGAATCAAAAACTCTTAAATAGCTTTTATAGTCGAAAATTAAGCATACGCCTATTTGGTAGGTATGACAAACGATTCTGAAAATTCATAAGGTTTCTGGCTTCTTTTGAATAATTCTTTTTTTGAACAGAAAGAAACGTGTAACAACAGTGAATATTTCTGTTTAAAATTTGAAATTGAAAACATTTTAACTTCCGGATGAATTTCAAAGCTTACATTTGAATTTTTTGAGTAAAGAAAACTTTTTCCAATTTCTAGTGACATTTCATTTACAGAGATTTCATATTCAAAACGCTGGATGGTGACATCCATTCATACAAAAGTTTATTATACATATCATCACCATATTTCCGCGATTTATTAAACTCCGATAATATTATATTAAATCAAATTACTCTTAATTATAATCGTGAAGCTGTTCTACAGGTTTCATTTCTTTTGATCATCACAACTAATAAACTGTGGAGAATTTAAATTTCAACAAAGAAAGAGTGTAACAAGAAGAAGAAGAAACTGTAAGAGAAGCTAATTATAGAAATATTTAATAGATTGTATGCTTTCAGTCTTAATTAAGAAATCATTTATGGAGTGAATCAGCAACTGAAATGAAACTAAATAATTGATGCAATTAAGCGGTTAATTACAAACTAATCACATTATATGATACAATCATATTTCCCATGTATATAATCTTGAACAATTTCTTAGCTGCTAATTAAATTCAATAACTAATAAACATTTTTCTAGACCTTATCCTATATGATCTTTGGTGTATTTGAATCATCCAAAATAGTTGATCCAGAATTAATATCGCAAATGTTAAAATGTGCCAAACAATTTCAATTACGATTGACACAATTTGATGATGATATTGGACGAGTGTTAATATTTCAACTTTTAAACGTAAATTAAATAGGATATTAAAAACAATAATAATTTTGTAAGCCATAAAATGTATTAATGCATGGATGAAATGATTGTGCTATTAAGCAATTAACAAAAATGCATTAATTTATGTAGAATTTGGATAATTTGGATGGAATAATTAAAATCTTATCGTTAACACATCGACAACAATCATATTATCAAGTGAAACGTATGTGTATTGCAATGATTGTTGAGAAGCATTACTGGAAATTTGTGTTTGTTTTATTACTGTATTACTAAAAAAGTAATATTTATGATGAAATTATATACGAATTTAAGATACATTCCAGTTTTTTTGTTTTTATTTTAATCAAAATCGATTTAAAAAATTTTCTTGTATAACGGTTTATTTGATATTATAAGTAGTATTAGTTTAAACAGAATTACTGCGCCGTCTATTTCATTTGCATATCTTTCCGAATTTAATATAAAGCAATTTTTAGCAAAGAATACAATAGTAATGCAATTGGTGAAAAACTGGATATTTTTGAACTTTTATCAACAGCAATAGTGCCAAGTTTATCACCAATTAATCGTATACATACCATATATCGAGGTGGTGCGACATGTCAACGAATATTACATTATAAGAAATTTGGCTGTGAATAATATTTCTTATATAATTTCTCCTCTCTTTTGTTGATACTTATAAAAATAAACGAATATTTGAAATTATATTTACAAAATTATTGTCAACCAGATTTGTGTTGTATAAATCTTAACGTATGTAACATATTCCATCTTTTATGATTACTGTTTAAAGGCTTTGTTGATTCATTCCTCAGAGTATATTGTTATGAGGAAGGAATTCATTTCATCTATCGATTTCCTAATGATCTAATAGAGAATCACTAAAAAAGAACAGCTAATAGCTGATGATATAGCTAAAAAAAAAAAAAAAAAAGACTTTTAGATTAGGCTTCTACGTAATAAAATCAACACTGCTGGTTTCGCTACTATGTTTGCATATTCTGAATAAGTAAATAAGAGTGATATTAAAGAAATTGATCACTTCGAATGTTTTCATAAATAAAGAGGGTCAAAGGTAAGCAGCAGTATCGCGTGTCACTTTCATTTTGATTCCTTACCTGCGATAACAACATTATACTTCACTCAATCATGCACATATTCATTTTAGATGCAATGAAGGCGGACTTTTAAGTGACGCAAGAATTTTCAGAATAGCGAATTTTTCTCCATAATCTTAAATCAAAATAGAAATGCAAAAATTCAAGAAATACTTCAACTAATCAAAACTTTTTTCTGGTCAGGTATATGCTTTGACGAGATTTTTTACCTTCTCCGAACATTGCATGCTTAAACAAAAAATCAAAACTTAATTTGAGACATATCCCTCAAAATAACAATTTTCTTCGAGAATTCAAGTGAAGCATAAATATTCGACGAAATAATAGCTTACTAATAAACAAAGCATGCAAAAATTGAAATGAATGATAAACGAGGAAATACGAGTTAATTAATAATAAAAACAGTATGCATGTAAAAGTTAAGACGAATAAGAAAAATATGGGCGTAAAGCAAGTAAGGTAAGGCATGTAATTATTATAAGTAATAAATAATTATAATAATTATTATAATTAGTAAGAAATATGCAAAAGGTAGGTTGATAATTTCAAAAAAAAAAAGATTAAATATGTTAAATTAATGGGGGGAAATGTAGAAGGAATAATAATTTAGAAGTAATGAAGAAAAATATCGTTATCAAAAGTATATGTCACATGTGTGATCGATTAGAAAAAAAAGGCATGAGTGAAATTGAAAAACCACGTAGAAATAGAATGCATAATTAACAAATGCGATATAAAGAAAAAAAAGTGGAAAATATAAATTACAAAAATATTTGAAATATTTAAACTGCACAATTCTAAAGACTGATTCTGAACTTTGTTGATGATGATTGTAAACACCAATAGAATTGCGAATTGCAATCTCTTAAATCGAAATGATATATCAGTTGGAATCATAGAAATGCGAGGAATGAGCATATCTTCACCTTTGAAAGGTCCTATCATGACTTTTGCTTCTATGATTTTACTCATTAATTTTTTTACTGCAAGCTGCATGCTGTTGCAAAGTTTTAGCTGGCTGATATTTCGGAATATGATAATTGGCATGCCTACTTGCAATTGCAGTACGTGCGGTGGCATGCTGGCAGATCGAGTGAATTTAAAAATTCTGTTGGATAATTAACTGCTTCATGTGCTTCCACAACAGTATTGACGGATCAAATTGCCTCGGTTTGAATGTTAGACTGAATAATATTGAATAACATACTAAGTTTATAAACGTCTCTGTTCCTGGCCGCAAGAATATCTCGTTTACTTAGCCAATCGTGATTCTTCTTATAATTGATTTGAGTACTGGGAACAATTTTTCTTTTGACATCACTAAATTATGGAAGTTATAAGACAATGAAATTCGTGCTGAAGTCGAATCAACTGGTAACTTTCTGTTTCCAATTTCTAGCAATTAGTATAAGAATATCTCAACTGATCGATCGTTTTGCATCTGGACACGAATATTTGTGGCTAATTTTAATATCTTTACGTATCACCACAAAGTAGAGTATTTCAGGGAAGCATTTATTTCGTCCGTTGGTTCGATCGAAGAATTACAAGTAATGTTTGCCTGAAATCTCCCACCAGGAATATTAATTCATTCCCAAATGATCTGATGTTTTCACACAAATCTTGCAATGATCGATCAAGAGTTGCGATCATTTTTTCCATCATTGTGCATTCATCGCGAACAGTAAGTTTGCATTTCTGCAATACTTTTCCTGCATAGGATGCTTTGGAGTGTCAATAAACTGCATGTTCAAGGGTAATTTCAAAGCGGAATGAACAGTTCTTCCGCCTGGTAGCACATCACAGCTATTCCGGACGGCACAAGAGATAAGGCTATGTCATTTCGAATTGAATTGATGCCAGAATGAATATAATTAGAAATATTTTACCAGTTCTTCCTGGCACATCGAGGAAAATTTCTTCAACCCCGTCATTGACAGTTTGTTTGCATTATTTGATCGTAAGTGTCTTTTGCGATTGCAAATTGGACATGAAGGAAAGCATGCGATCAATATGAATGCATACAATGCACGGATTTGATTTAGATGTGATGTGTTGCACAATGCATGCATCCCAGTGTCGATCATTCTCCAATAAATTTAGAACTTGACATGCACTGCGGAAAAAGACATGTGTAACACCGTTGAGCATTCATGTTGATTGGGTTGTACGGTGTTATAGTAGTTTCTTTGAATGTGCCAAGTTATTCGTCGATCGCTTTTCTCGTTTATACCCTTCAAAATCACATTCCATGTGTAATACGTAGACATTTCACTTCAGAATACAGCAATGCTTTCGTAAATGATTCATTTTAATATGATGTAAAGAAAGTAGTTAACATTTTAGTTGGTCGATTCATTTACAGATATGAAATAAACGCATTGTCCATTTTCTAGATGTACTGCTAAATGGACAATAATTGGACTTCATTTATGTATAGGAAATGAAAGATTTTGCTCCTTATATATCTTTCAGTTTAATACTGCGCAATTTCATTGATATATATGACCATCGCATTCCTATCACTTCTTTCTGATTGTACACCATGTCACTGTCTTTATTCATGTACTTATAAATGTATTTGATCGATTTAACCCACTTACAGTATTCTATGTGCACTTTATTTGTTTTTAATAACAAAAGCAAATATGGAATAACCCACCAGTTATCTACTTCGATGTTACCGTTTCGCATTTGTATGATTGCTAATTTACTTTCGCATTTGTATGATTGCTAATTTACCACTATCTTCTGCAGATCTTCTATATCGTTTCCTATAACTGTATTGGATATAAATGTTGGAGGATATCCTTTAGAGCATTTTTCGTCTATCATGTATAGTGAGTATACCCCAAATCCATGTGTCATATTTTTCGTCACAATTTCATGCAAATCCTTGTCGACGTTGACATCAGATGATTTCAACGCATACTGCACCATCGATTTCGTTTGAAGTGTTCTTGTTATAAAGCCAGATTAATTAGTATATGATCGTGTGACAATCTCCTCTTTTGTTTTTCCATTGAGTACAACCAGCAGCGTATAAACACAAACACTTTATGTTTCACCATGAAATCCATCAGCCACTTTAATTTCTTTCTGAAAACACGTGCTCTGATGTCATACCTATTCGCCGGTAATTGTCCAGGAAGTAAGAAATGTTGTATATCGTCTCAAGTTGGATTTCATATGAATGTAATGAATTAGATTTGGATGCCCATAGTGACAAATATACGTAATTGTATTTTGAGGATACTCATGCGTATAACGTGGACTACCTGTATACAAAGATGGCAAAATTGTTAGTCTTTCAAAGTTAGTTGTATTACTGTCATTAACAACAATATCTCACAAATGAATGTTTGGTCGGATTCAAATGGATGAATACCAATGGTTATATTTGAATTTGTTGCATACATATCTATGATGTATTAGTGACCAAAATGTGATTGTTTTCATTCTCTCAATTCATTAATCGATATGGATCAAGTATTATTATTCATTACATTGCGTCTCATATTTGTTTCTTCATTTATCATCTTAACGTTGAAATGATATCCATCGGTAGCATCCCAAAAAATAATTGGATATTGCAGGGCATCATGAGTTTCTGCAACTTTTGTCAATCGATCGTTTCTCCGATGAAGAACAATATCTCTAGGTAAGGCTTGATCATCAACTACAACAATTGTCACTTCATCTATAGTTGGAGTAATGAATCTTCGCATATGTTCGCCAGCAGGCTTTTTATCAACGTAAATAACAGTTTTGTGTATATCGGATATGGGCCGATTTCTAGAGAGACCAGCATCTGTCACTGATGAACTTTCACTGCTGCAAGTGGAAGCTTTTCGGTCTATTGGTACTTCACTTCTTTCTTACTCCATAATTGGGACTCTTATAGTTCGCGAACGCCTGAAACATATTCACAATCAGAGATTTCGGCAATAAGAACATCTCTTCAAGATTTGAAGACTAGACTAAAAGCACTTTTTGCCACATTTGCATAATTGGAAGTGAAAGTTAACGCTCTTCGTGCCAAATTATCACTTCCCTCATTAAGGAATGGCCATGTGGTACATGCCGCATCCACCATCTCATTTCCTCTTTTCGGCTGTCTCCACTATCAACCAAACATTCCGACTCCATTTGTTGCTAGCTTTCCAGAAGATGGAGTTTCGTATTCCCTTTTCAGATCGCGCTGGTGTTGTATGAGTTTGCGGAACACTACCATTTGTTCTCAAGAAAGCGGAAAACTTGCGTCGTGTAATAAGTCTACCCCAAGGACCTCTATTGTTACATTATCATGAGGTTGACGCTTATATCTAAAAAGCATATCGGTCATTACAATTAATGGACAGTCCAATTATTACATTCAATGGGTTGCATCAAATTTTAGCACACAAATCTATGAAGTAAGTACCATTTCAGTACAAACTTTTAAATTTTTATTGCCTTTTAATACAAAAGATAATACTTCACTTCACTAGTTCATATTAGTCCGTCTTCTACAATAATACAACTATTATTCATCTATCATTTACAAGATTACGATGTACATCTTAGGTGACAAATGAATCAATATACTGGATTTGTCGCATTTGTATAGATAATTCAACATCTGATAGTAAAGCAACGTGCGTAAGTGATTTTTTAGGTCTGCCAATGTTGGTGGACGCAGTCTTATCATTTTGTCACATTCCATGCTTTTTGCTAAAAAAAAAAATTCGCTTAAATCGAGAAAGCAAAATTTGAAGATATCAGAACGGAAGTCAAAGGAAAACTTTTGAGACAAACTAAGATATGCTATCACTATAAAATAAAACTTATCATTACCATAATTTGACTATCATTTCTATCGATTTAGTAAGTTATAGAAAATTATTCCGTAGCCGATTGATGGCAAAAAAAAAAAGAAACTGAGGAAAAGGCAATCAACAAGGCATAATCTTCATCCTTGTATAATCTAGAGGGGTACCATGCAGTATTACATATGAGATGATAATACAGTAAGTAGATACAGTAAGTTGGTATAGTAAGTTGATAAGAGGTGATAATACAGTAAGTAGATTTGATCTGAATATATATTAAAGAGAAAAAAAAAAGAGATGACATAATCAATATTCAAATGAATAAACAATTGATTGCTTGCAAATGTTTTTCTCTTTCGGAATTTTACACCAAAAGTTGAAGGGAAAATTACAAAGTTTAATTTTAGCTTTTAATTATTTTTGGCATTAATAACAAATTCATACTTTTGAGATAACTTTTGCAGTTTCCGTTATTCTACTATATTATATCTGAAAAATTAACCTGTAGAATACAAATGCCATCCAAATGATAGTAGCAATATTAGTAATTCTGGTTCTGTATTCAAACTATTTCACTCGCAAAAATTCAAATTTACAGAATTTTAAGGATTTTGCTTCTCCTTTATTCTACATGGAGAATTGATAACTGAAAAATCTGCCATTTTTGGACACCAATTATTAATGTTTTACCTGTATTGCGTGATTTGACATACAAGGTCAATGTATGATGTGACATATCGACACATAAATAAGTTGTTGAAAATATTTCCCATCAAAATTTATGACAATCTTGAAAAGTTTGTTTTTAAACTGAAAATAACAATGAAAAAATCTCACATTTCTCATCAAATTTAAATTGTCAAAGCAATTGTAAGATTGATATTTAGTTGATGAGTCATGGCTAATTCAAAATTACGCTTCTTTTCTAATGCTTTATCCTTGATAAACGGGAATAGCGTTAACACTTGCAAGCTATCATTTAAATTCGTATCGTAGTTGGGAAAAAGATTTTCATTGTAGCTCCTTCTTTTATTTGAATATTATTTAAGACAACTTGGATGGTCATTGAGGGTGAAACCCCTGGAGTAGTCTCCGTGGTGCCGCGTTAATGTGGTAGTTTGCGTTCTTATTCATCACTCCATTCATTTTGCAGTAATTGGATAATTACTGCTAATCAGTTAAATAAATGGTCATTAAATAAATAAGCACTTTCGTATTAGTACCATTTAGTATGAGCACTTTTGCTTGCCACTTTTTTCAGATTGTTAGGGGAATTCTAGGGCACAAATGGAAGATCGTGATGATGGTATTGGGTCGGAAATAAATACTCCAAAGGATGTGCAACATGCCGAAGAACTGCATCACAATTCTGGCCAGGTTACTGCCAGTTAATTAAATAGTCATTATTTATCACTTACCAGCTTTTAAAGTCTAGCAAGTTTATCATATCTTCATAGTTATTACCTCTATCCATTCTGTATTTATTCTTCTATGTAAATGCGTATCTTTCTAAGCTGATTGGGTAAACCTCAGCTCATGAAAGGGTATTCGTCACTGTTCGGAAAAAGAGTGGATGAGAAGGCCCGGATGCTTGACTGCTTCGGGTAGTAATTGCTGAATTTATTATTACTTTCAATAATGAAGAAATTTCCATTTTGACAATGAAATACGATAATGTTCATTCTCCCTGACATTTTTCAAGCTGTGCAAAGATGTGCACAATTCGTCTAAACCTTTGTTTAATAAAATTTCAGGAGGATAAGGGTGTGAACAGAGTAGATGATTTGGTCGCATTACATCCGTCATCGTCAGTTTCTCCGAATAGTTCGACACCAATTAGACCGCAGAATCAGCATCTTTCCCAACACATTCCAGGAATATCACCAATTAAAAGAGTTTCATTAACAGAATGTGTATGTGATAATACGACAAATGTTTCGGACTGTTCAGGCGGTGAAACAAGTAATGGAGTTGTTAGTGATAAACAGTACACCAAGTTAGGTAACATTCCCTATATTCATAGTTTTGTTTGAAATGTCTCTCGTTGGATGTAGGCATTATGACTAAATATATGTAATTGGTTATTAAAAGATTTCAGATTTGGCTATGATGCTGCGCGACAAACATTTGGAATGCATTGCATTAGAGGGAGAAAATGAGCGATTGTCACAGTTAGTTGAAAAGCTTGCTAATGAAAATCATCATTTTCAGGATCAGGTAAGAGTATGTGGCATTTTCCAGCATGTTTTGTCTGTTTGGTTAAACTAAATTGAACATTATGCTGTGTAGATTTTTATAAAAAAAATACAATGCAGTGAATTCTTTTGATTTTGATTGATTTTTAGGGTAAAATAGTCTTTTTTTTTATTAATGAAGTGCTAATAGTGAGTTTTGGTTTTGAAGCTTTAGATTTCCGTTGCAAAAAGCTGTGCTGCAACTTTAGCCAAAGAAAAGGAAGAACTAAAGGTCAGTTACTTCACTGACTAATTACTCTCCACTCATGATAGGTATTCTAACTTGAAAACATTTTGTTATAAAATACTGCATACACAAATTGCAGAATATCAAATAGTTGTATTTTATTTTTTTTATTTTAAACAGCAATCATTAAAACGCATTTCGAGGAAAAAAAAGACAAAAGGGAGAACTTGACTAGTAATTACGTTTTGTTTGAAAATTATGTAGCTATATTTACAATAAATTATTCACGTCTCGCAAATCTCTTATTCATAACTTGCAGAAAACCGCAGGAAAAAATGAATCGAAGTTTATGGAATGCCAACATCAGTTACGAATTGTCGAGCAGAAATTAGCACTTTTAGAGAATATTTCAATTGATATAGAAACAGATAAGGTCGTTTATTCTGTCCTTCAGAATAAAGATGACAATGATAAGATATTCGACAAACTGAATAGGAACCTACATGGTTCAAAAGGATGCTTTAGTTTATCCCATACGATTCTATGATTAAAGTTAGATTTCACTATATTTTGATGGAAATATTTTGTTATTCCCCTGCTTTATCAGCAATGCGACGATTTTACAGATGCCTAATGCAGAAACACTGAAGAAGTTGCAGGATGAAAACGCTGCAATGCAAGGAAAAATTTCAGAGCTTAAATTAGAGCTAGAAATAAAGGAGGTAAGGAGTAGTACTTTTCGGAGCTTGTTTATGATTATTTAATTGAAAGATATTGGAGCAGAAATGCGTATATGTTGAACTTATCATTATCAAGGCTGTTCAGTCGAAGAGGCCGAAGTTAATACTTATTCTCCTCTTACTTTCTTATTTACGTGTCTGTTTTGTGTTTCTAACCTTTTGTGTTACTAATCCATGAATATTTCTTAATAGATGTGTAATGCTTTATTTACAAAATACTTCGTGCTGTTTGGTGATTAATGTGTCATTGCTTAAAATTTTTGTGCTTCAAAAATTGCCTTGTCATTAGTTTTATTTCTTTTTTAGGAAGGAGAAAAAAGTGCTGAAATCTGGAGAAAGAAGTATGATGTCGCAGTAGGAGACATGGAGGAAATGCACAAGATTAAAACTGAGTTGGAAAAAGAGTTAGAAAACAAGCGAGTCGAAATTGACATCTTAAATAGAGAAAAAAGAAGTTGCGACGAGAAGTGCAACAAATTCAAAAATTTATATGATGAAAATGCTGAAAAAGTTGCTCAGTTGCAGAAACAACTACTTGTAGTTGAGGAAAAGTTTAAGCAATTACAAGAACAAGATTCGAAAATCGCAGATTTGGAGCAAAAACTGGAAACAGAGAGGAAAACTTGGGAGGACGAACGCGAACATTTAAAGAAAGAGAAATCGGGACTCGAGAAACGGATTGAGCAACTTACGCTTGCCAATTATGTTAATTGTTTTAAACATTCTTTCAAAACTGAGTTTTTTTCAAGGTTACGGTTTCTGATAAGCTGACATCCGCATTATGGGACTGGGCTGATAACAGGATAATTCGAGGTCCAACAGTGTTAGCCTTCTATAGAGATCTGTACACAATCTGTTAAGTCAGTAATCATTATAAGAAATTCTGTGCCGATTGATGGAGTGATTTCGATGATCAGAATAGTACTTTGGATGGGATTTTTAATCGGGCGATCATGTAGGACTGAGAGCGAATATATACTTTGTTTGCATTTGTAGACCTCACTGTTAGCTTTTATTTTATTCAGTTCTAGTTAAATCAAAAATAAAGGGATATTATGTAGTTTGGTTCTGGAAGCGAATAGGAAACAATAATTGTCTTTAAAGACATATTTTTGTTTAAGGCATTATCAACCGAGAAACAGGCATTACTTGAAGCTGACAACAAAGGTCTGAAAGATTTGGCTGCGTGGCAGGAGAAAAACGGAAAGCTTACTTTACGGAATGCGCAACTTGCTGATGATCTAAAAAAGTATCGTGATATAGATTTACGATTAACAGAATGCTTAGATGAATTAACGAAAAAGGATTCATTGGTTAGTTATTTTTCAGGGAATATATTTGTTGCTTTGGGAATGATAGCATTCGCAATGCTTAGCTTCTGAAGTGAAAAATGAGTCATGTTATCACTGTCAGTAATGTCATCTAAATCCCGTTAAGTGATTCATTATGCGATAGCTTCCACAAGACTGCTTTACTAGGAAATTTTCTGTCAAATAGTCAAGTACTGTTAGTAACATGTAAATTTCTCGAATGCGTTATCATCCATTTCGAAAAATGTCACTGAAGTAATATTTCGGCATGGAATCATACTCATCATGATAACAAGCTTTTTGGGTAGCGAAGATTTCTGTTGGAAAAATTTTCTGACCCATTAATTAGTATTAAAATTTTAACAATAAAAAATTTCTGACCGATATACAGACATATCCCAACACTACTATTTTTAATTTTGTACAGACTTTTGCATTGTTTCCAGATCGAAGAATTGAACGGGAAAATTGCTAAAAATAATGATGATTTGAAAAGATTTCGCGAAGAAGCTATCTATTTGAGAATGCAGTTGAATGTTAGTTTTCTTTTGAAGTGTTTTGCTTCTCTATTTAAGCAAAACTCCCCCTTGGAGATCTTCCGACAGAAATAATCCACTCAGAATATTGAGATCAAAAATGATCAAAAAATAACCAATACATAAATTATAGTATGAGCAGATTAAACGCATTTTGCTTTTTTAAAATGCTGAACTTTTAACGAAACTGGTCATTAAATGCATACATAAATTATAGTATTGGCACACTGAACACATTTTGCTTTTTTAAAATGCTGAAGTTTTAACGAAACTCATTAAATGATTAAATGCAGGAAAAGAAGAAGAATGACATTAAGGAAGATTGGGTTTCGGAAAAGAAAAAGTTACTGTCCGATTGTGAACACCTAAAAGAAGAAGTTGCGAAAAATCGAATTTTAGTGGTTAGTTTTTGACATATAATGTGGTGAGAGATACATCACAGCTGCTGGTATTAGACCGAAACGTTCAAGTAAAACATGATAACTGGAAACTTAGGCACTGCCAGTTATTAGCTCTTCCATTTGCTCTTGCAAACTTTAAATTAGTTTTAGGGAATCGGTTATTGGAAATTTTGATCGGTTGTAATTAACAGATTAATAACTTGTTTTTTGCAGGATCAAATTGCAACTGAAAAGCAAAAAAACAGTGAATTCACATCATTGCTGGAGAAGCGTGAATTGGAACTCAATGACATTCGAGCTCTTGTGGATAAAAAGCAGAAACGGATAGTGAGCTTTTTTTTTTAAAGAATGCAAAAATATGACTTTTTGTCAGAATTAAATAATGAATAATAACACAAAACTGTTATCCCATAATTCATTTTCATCAATCGATATGACTTTTTTATAAAACATTTCACTTCTCACTCTTGGTCGAGAAAAATTTTGTGACACTATGTGAATTTTAGAAATACATTTCAATTTTCCGAAAACGTTAAATGATGTATGATATCTCGAATTACTATTTTTAATTTAACAATAACCGGTTTTATCAACAGATTGATGTCTACTAAAGTCATCGTTGTGACCTATAGCAGCTTTTTGAATCGAGATTTTAGAGCTTCATGGATGGTTCTTGGTATTTTTTGAATTAGAAAGAAAAAGTAGGGTAATAGCAGGACGAGAGAAAAAGAGATGAAAGAAGGAAGGGAGAAGTATAGCATAGACTACTGCTATTATGCCATTGACGGAGCACCTACTGGCATCGTTTTTGGGTTTCAAATTCAAAGCAGTACCTACGAATTAGTGAAACAATGTCTCTTATCCATGTTACCTTGCCAATCTTTTTACTAACATTATTGTTAAAATAAATTATTAGTTGACTTGATTTATATGTAGGAAGATTTGATGGAAGAGAAAACAGACTTGAAACATGAAAATACACGCTTAAAAACAGCACTGGATGAAGTCAATACGGAATATAATATTTTCCGGGTTTGTTCTTACTGTGAATCAGAATTATTAATGTTACATATCCTCTTTTTAAAATCAGTACCCTATTTATGTGAAATGAAAGTTAACCGAAACTTCTACAGCTTTCTTTAAACACACTGATACTGATTTTTAGAATCAAGCCGAAGTTCAGTACCAGTTAGAAACTGCACAACTAAATGAAATAATTAAGGAGAAGGACGAACGTTTGGAACGTTTACATGCACGGATAGCTTTGTACGAATCATATCCTGGTATTCTTCCTTCCATTCTTTTTTTCACTTTACGTTTACCTAGCAGTAATTGACTATAGTCTTTATTTTTTGCTTTCTTCATTAGATTTTTAAATTTTTTGTGAGTTAATAATTTTATTTTTTGTTTGTAGGACAGAACAGCACTGTTTTTTCTTGTTTAACTGATTCAAATAGCCATGCAGATATTACCATATGGGACGCGCTTCCTGCTACCATACGTTCGCAGTTATATGAACTGAAAGAAGTAAGAATTGGGATTTGTCCACAAGTCCAAATTTTATTCTTAAAATAATTATTTCTGGTTTTGTAGAAAGCTGATATTTCGTTTTATATTTTGCTAATATTGATTTTTCATAGTCTAATACTTCAGAAATATCAAGATCTCAATGCACTTGTTTATCGAATGATGTCAGATCCACCGACAAAGCAATATGCCACTATTACGAAGGTGTGAACTTTTACAATTATTTCACGTTATTTTATGAAGAAACGGGTGGAGGAACTTCGTTAAACTTCTAATATTTCAGGATTGAGTATTTCCATTCATGTTTTTTTGAAATCAATTAAATGAATCAAAAAATTTTTGTGTATTCTCAAATTTCTTATTGCTAGGTTGTGGAAAATAAGGCAACAGATTGTTGTAGTCTAGCTTCACGGGCGGAACTGTCACATTCAGAGTTGATGAGCAGAAGCGAGTCACGTCTAGCAGTATGTGAAACTGGATCAAGCATTGAATCTTCATCAGGAAATCTAATTGCTAAACTACACCCAGAAGAAATAAGTGAAACAAAAGACACATTACTTTTAATGCTCGATTCCGTTCGTCATGCAGAGGTTGCTTGACATTTTTGGATTTTCACCAATGTTTCCTGTAATATTTTTAAGAAGTATTCCTTTTTAATCTATGGAAATCCCTGTTGATCAAACTGCTAATCACTGCAGATTCGTGGTAAACTTACTCCCAACATACAGCAGTTACTAGAGCATCTTCTAGCTAATATACAAGAAGGCGATAAATCAGTGGAACAGATCAGTGGAGCGGTACGTTATATTATTTCATTAAATCACATATGTGTGGAGCGGTACGTTATATTATTTCATTAAATCACATATGTATAATCATCAAGATATCGCCTTCACAATCGTATTTTTACTGCAGGCGTCTTTCAGATGTAGCATGGTTGCACGCCTAAAATTGATTCATCATTCTACTGAAAGAGTTCCATGTTTTCAATTATAAAACCATTCTAATTATTCAAGCATCTGTTGAGCTGCCTGTAGTTTGAACTGTCTCATCTTTGCTCACTATAAGTGGCAGGTTCTATTGCGGTAGGCTCAATGCTTTCAAAACATGTGTGCTTTGTGCTTTATGACTCAATGCTGCTTTATCGTTATAGCTTCTCCGCTACAGTGAGGTATCCAGTTTGGGTCCTGTAGAAAGTTCCTTTTATAATTACAATCAGTCCAGTAAAACAGTGTAAGACGAATGGAACGAATGATATTCCTTTTTACTTCAATAATAATTTATTTCAGGTGAGTCGTTTTTTTGCAAATTTGGATTTGGCGCTGCGAAAAACACTCTCTGCTTCGGATGACAATAGAATTAAATGTGAAAAGCTGGAGAAATTGTGCACAGAAGTTAGTTTCTTTAATTATAAGTAAATTTCAACGAAGTTATTTTCACTAGCAGTACCTCGATGCAATCTAACTTTAAGTAGAGTCATTTCGAAATATATTACCTTATGATATTCTCTCTCCTTAATTTCAAAAGGTCTGACATTAATCCGTTAGTCCATAATTATTTAAACATCTGAGTCGTGTGACTTGATCAGATAAATTTGAGATGACTGCTGATCTCCATGGTGCTCAAGACGAACTTTGCTTTGCCCTTAATAAGTGCTCGATATATGAAACAAACATTGACAGTTTAAAACGGCAATTCAGGTGCTTATTACGGTTGTATTTTCAAGGTACAATACGAGTGGGCTATCGAGAAGCTTTGGAATTTTGTTTTAAATGCACCACTAAAATTGTTTACTTTGCCGGAAAAAAATGAATTACAATTACGTAGCGTTTCATTTATTGCTTAAAGATTTGGCTTCTTTTAAAGTTACAGTTGCGAAAAAAAATAATTTTTATAAAATAAGTAAAAAATTGCGAATTGTTGTAAAAAGCATGAATCCTTTTACAAATATAAAACATTGCAAGGTTGTTTTAGATGTCAAAGTCAAAAATGTGCTGAATTACACGAGAAATTGATGGGAAGTTTCAAGGAAATCGACAATTTAACCAAACAAAAAGATCATCTCACTGTTGCTCTAAACGAAGCAGAAATAATATTAAAACGTAAAACAGATTTGGGTTGCCAAGCAGCAGGCACCATCAAGGTCGGTTTTCTAATCGATTTCAGCAATATGAGGGCAATTTTTTTTCTTAATTTAGGCAGAATATTTCATAGCAGTCTGTGGTCAGGCACCACACGCATCGATTTTTTGAAGCTTAGTGTTCGTCAGTTCATGCTATTTGACTTTAGACTGGTTAGACTGAAAATTGAAATTTGATTTCTATTTGTTTGGTTTCTAAAAACTGGTTTTTATTTGTCTTACAGTCTTATTATTTATAGTGCATAAAAGACGAGTTGCAAGAAGCCAAAAAATTTGAAGACCAGATGAATGAACGTTTGCGTAAACTGTGTAGGGAAAAAGAGAAAGTGAAACAACAGTTGAGCAAACGGGAACTTGACGTTGTTAAACTCGAGTGTCGCCTTGTCGAAAGTATTAATGAATGTGAGGAATTGTTTCTGAAATTGGCATTTACCCAGGAACTTATCTCACTAATTAGAATTTCACCGATATTTATTTTTTAGGTACAATGAGAGCATCTGAATTACAACATGCCGAAAATAAGATAGATGAATTACAAAAACGAAATGAATATTTAAAAAGAAAATATGATAAACGAGAAGGTTTCCTTGAAGAAATGGAAACACTCCTTCGGGCTATGAAGATTCGTTGCGAAGGGCTGCAAGGAACGAATCAACTGCGACAAGTGAGAAATTAGCTCTATATTTTACTTCAGCACTATTTTGGAGTGTGGGAAGTTACCTAAAGTCGATGTTCTCCAGTTCCTTCATAATGTTAAAATTTTGTGAAGTCTTATTTGTTTAACCTTTGGTATTCTCATTTCTAGATTTTTTTGAATTTTTTGCCGGTTTTCTTGGGTGGAAAAAATTTTGCAGTACCTTGTATCGTAGCATACTGGAATGTGAAATAGGACTTGATGTTTTAGATTTTATCATACTATATAACTATTAATTTTGGTTTGAAAAGTTTGGTTTTTTTTTGAAATCCGATGAATTTTGCACTGAAATGAATTTTCAGAATTTAATTGAGAAACTGAAAAAACTTCTGGTGAAACTGGGTTGTAATTTGGATAATCCAAATTTGATCGGTGGCAAAAGAGCCGGTGCTTTTGACGGTAATGCGGCAAAATTAGTAAAAAAATTGAAAACGCATGTGCGGCCATCTCATCTGCATCGATTGAAGGTAGCAAAGATTGCGCAACGTCTTGAGAAGGTAATATCTTTGCAAGAAGGTAGACAACATTTGGTTTTATTGTATGATTATCTTCATAATAATAAAAAATATAGGAAATTGAATTATAACACAGAACTACAGGCTATGTTTAAAATCCTGTATTGTTACTTGAACTTGTTACTATCTTGACTCTATTTGGAATGGTTTTCAGGACACTGCCAAAATAGAAGAACTGGAAAAATGCCGAAACAGTGATGTTATGCATATTCCATCCTGGCGCAGTCTGGATGCTAGTGTTTCAGTATTATCTGCTGGTAGTCGCGCTGACGGGGTGCAGAATGCTGGTCTTACTGCTGGTGGTGTTAATCAAACAAGTCGTGCCGTTTCTGAAAATGGTTTCGGTATACTGTAAATTTGTTGACATCAGGTTGTGCTGGTTTAGCTTTTTTTTTCCTTTTCATCAGTAATAGAATTTTTTGTTATCGTGGCAAAAAAATAATCTGATCTCATTTTCTCAACCACGTGACGAAAATTAACACAAGAAAAATGGGATTTTTTTAGTGTGAGTTCAGTGATGAGGATAGTCACCATTCATATCTTGAACATGAAAATGGGTTGCTCAACTGCTTTGCCATATGCAACAAGCTGATCCGCGTAATATATAACGTTATACTTCATGAATTTCTCTTATTAGTTGAGAATAATCATATCTTTTTATGTCTTTGTATTTTCATAGCATTACAAATGTTGCATTTCACTTATTTTATCAATTCACAACATAGTTGGATTTATAGTTGTGGATTTCTTTATAATATTGTGCAGTGAATTTCATCAAAAGTTTTCATCAATTTCTGTTTGCTTTTTTTTTCTTCCGGAAGTTTGACAGATTTTTCTGCGACAAACCATTAAATAAAAACAAACTTTGCATAGGTGCTGGTTTTTTCGGAGCGAAAAAAGACCAAGTGCCAAATTTTGGAAATGGAATTTTATAAAAATAGGCCAATCGGCAATTTTATTTATTATGTTTAATTCTAAATTCATTACTTTCCCAGATGATATTATATAGCTTTATCATGCTGCTATTGCTGCGCTTTAACTCATATTCTCATATAATATTTTTGACTTCATCTCCAACTCTTCGTTTTTATGAAGAGCTTTTTTGCTGTGGTTTAGTATTGTCGTTATTCGTGTTATCTATGTTTTTCCTTTAGAGTTTGTATATTATTTTCACTTTGTGATGGGACGGTTTTCATAAAAACTCGTGAAGCGACGGGAATATGTGTCATGCTGTTAACCCAGTAATTTATAAAGACCTTGTGCAACTTATTTCGACGGATGTCTTGACTTTATGAATCGCAGTATATCATCCCGCCACCCTTAATTAGTGAGCTGAGTTTAATTAGCGTAATATATAAATTTGACCTAACATTTGCAATTTCATATAAATTCGTGTTACTCGTGTTTTTCCTTTAGAGTTTGTGTATTATTTTCGCTTTGTGATTATTGCACTCAAGTTTTAAAATGTTTGTATCTCATTTTTATGGTCATATTTTCAAATTTTTAAATGCGTTTTTAAAAATGCTGACTTTGAAAGCTTTTATCCACTACATTCGATATTTTATTGGCATTACAGTCTAATAGTTGCTTTACAGACCTTTTTTTATTTGCAGTACTATTCTATTCATCTGGTAATCTGGTAGTAATATAGTAAACAATTGTCTGTAATGTTTGCTTGCTTGCGTCTGCAATGCACTACCGTTGATGATAACAAGAAACTGGTCTGTCAGATAATTAAAAGATAGTTTGAAACATCATAAAGTATTCTTAATTCACCATTTCATTACTGCAGGAAGATTGGAATGAATAGCTTTACTGCTTTCCTGAAGACGATGCATGAGGAAGGATGTGAGTGTTCGCGAATGCACTTTCCACTTTCCAGAGTCTTTCAGTATCCACTATCGTCCAAATGGTGGTTGTTTCCCTGTATTTCTGTTCACTTTCTTCAAGGATAATTTCGCACCATTAAAAATGGATCAAGTACTCGAATACTAATGGAATTATGTTAAAACTGAAAAAATGGATCATCATAAATTGCTGAGTGGTAATTCCTGCTAAAAGTTTTTTAATGGAAGAGGTGAAAATACATATTGAAGCTGTGATTGATGTACTGGTGGTCCACTTTTTTTCTTTTTGAAGTGAATGAAATCAGAGCCTTGAAAGGCAAACATCGGTAGTTCGAGTTGTAAAATTTCAACGTCTCAATACTTATTTTAAATTGGGCGCAGATGTAATAATCAAGCACTAAATATTAAAAAACCAATAACAGATAGATTTCGTAAATAACTAAAATCACATTTTCTTGAATCACTAATGTACAATCTCACTCATTTTTTGTGTTTTCATCAATCAATTTCCATCACTTTAAACAGATCCATTGAATGTTTGAATTCACAGTTTTATTATTTCTGGTAAATAATTTGAATACCACGCTGAAAACGGATTGAGAATCCTTTTAGACCGTCGGAAGCCAAATACATTACCGCAGTGTTCTAGTGAAACAGCGGAAAAAATTTTTTAATCTGCCTTAATTAATTAATGCTAACTAATCGAAATTGAATGTCTGTCACGAGCAACATCACCAGAATGTACTGCTAGGTACAGATATACATCAATAAGAAATGAAAAACATCTTAGCAACATTTCGTTAGTTAATTAGTTCGTGCCTATAGATTGGGTTAATTAAGGTATAATAACAAGAGAATGTAATACGATATGCTATTGTGAATATTTGTTACTTCCTCACTTTGAATCTTACGCATATTTCTTTTCTAAATTCTCTGATAAACAATTACCACTAATGAAGATTAATAGCTATGACGAAGTTCAGTATTTTTTTCTTCTGGTTGCTTTGTTTCTTTTTCTAAAGCAGACTGAATCATTCCAATAATCGATCTATTTTACACGTGCGTGATCACGTTGCTGTAACCTATATTTTGCGTAAGTGTAAACACTTATAATCATTATGGCTAATTTTCAACCTTTTAAATCCTTGTTTTCTTTCTAGTTATGCATACATTTTAGACTACCGTGTTGAGAGTAGAAATAAACGCAACATGTAAACTGATCTTCCTTTTTTTTCACTTATAATTATCGTTTTGTAAATGTTCATTTCAATCTCCACTATAATCTATCCTTCCTTGACATGTGAGTCATGTTTGATTTTGAATTCAATTCAATTTCAACAAGTTTACTTTTTAAGACAAAATGGCAAATGAAAAGTTTGGTGCTTTAGTGTATGCGTTGAAAATTGTGATATGAAAAGGTGACAAATATCGAATTGTAAACTTGAAATACATTTAAATTGTATTTCAATTTTAGATAGTTGTGTAGTTATAAAAATTTCAGTGTTGTATTTGAAGTGCCATCAAAGAAATAAGAACAAATTGTGGATTAAAATTTCAGTTGAAGTCCAATAACGCTTGTATTTCTTCTTTTTTAACAAGTCTTATCCTTGAATTCATTGTCTTCCAATAATTTCAGAATCGGTATTTCCGATCTAAAATTGAGTAAAAAAGACGTTGTGAGAATGGTTACAGCTTTTCATGCCGACAAAAACATCTTACTGTATCATCATCAGATTTTGACGAGCAACCTCTCATTCATGTAATAAAAAGAGGGCAGATGGATCATTATCATCATCAGCATCATCAGAAAATATGAAATATAAAAATTCCTAATTTTCCCTATTTCTAATATAATAAAAAAGGAAAGCCTCTCAAACCGTATTAATTTTATATGAGTATGAACTATTTTAATGTTTTATTTCCTTAAGAATATTATTCTTATTAGTATCATTTACTACAAAACATTGTGTTTAGGCAATGATGCTTAAATAATATCCCGGGAAATTATATACCGAGAAGTTATATGATTGGGCAATGATGCTTAAATAATATCCCGGGAAATTATATACCGAGAAGTTATATGAATGGTATTTCTTCTTTCTTCCTATGTTGTTACTCTTTCATTAAGGGTTATTATTATATTGGTACAAAATGAACATAAATTTCCAATTTTTTAGTACTGTTTCATGGCTAGAAGTGATTTTTTTCTTAACAAATCATTTTCAGATGATAGAAATGTTGAAATTTAAGAAATAATTGATCATTTCAAAAGAAAATGATAGTAATGGTATTGAAAGATTCCAATTCTTTATTGTAAATATAATTCTGCAAGAATCTTTTTAGTTTAATAACAAGTTTGTAAACAACTGAGTCATCCGTTAGTCAGCTTCTCATAGGTGAACACTATCTGAAATCACTTAAATTGAGCTAGCAAATATCTACTTTAGTTGTTACACAAAAAGAAATTTGTTCCAAAGAAAATTAGAAGATCAAAAAAATAATTCATTATTTTACTACTGGGTTAAAGCAAAAATGCAAATTAGTGTGACATCTTGAATTCCAACTAAATAATTGTCATATGAACAAAACCACCCGATGAATCCCGAAATAATTCTGAAGCAAATAATAAAATTTCAAAAAAGTATAAAGATGCGCAGGTATCCATAATTAGTCATTGATATTTTATAATTTTATTTGTACGGTATGTTTCAATTTTCAAATCACTTCAGGTGACATTGCTTTAACAGAAATAATAACTAATTTAGATTAGCTAACTATTTCATGGGACTCTATTTTCTGATGATCAGAAAGGCAGAAATCAACACAACAAAATATCTTGTTTGTTGAAAATAATAATAATAATCTAAGGAAAGTTGATAATAAAACAGAATTAAGTGAGGTTTTTCAAACATGAATGTGATACAAAATTCTCGGGAAGTTTTCCCTCAAGGATAAAATATTTTTGCAGAAGATGTCCTATCCGAAAGAAATTATCTTTCCAGTAATTAACAAATCAGTCGTTCGACGTCTACTGCTTCGGAACAACACAAAAACGGATTTTGCTGTAAAAGTAAGCAATTCTTCTGACGAATTTTTTAATTGAACGCTTCAATTTTAAGGCGGAAAAATCCATTTGAAATTGAAAAGAAAAAATTTCAGCTTAAATTCTTCGCCATAATGTCTCCCATAACTATATTATTATCTCCAACACATGCACATAATTAAACTAATTCAAAATGTTTCTGAGTTGACATTTTCGCTTAAGTACCGATGAAGTCATAGTGATACCCCATTCGATACAATCTTCATTCATTGAATCATCGCATTCTTCACTGTCGTAAATGTCCCTATTATATTCTGATCAATGACATTGGGGAACGGAGAGCAGGGGTTTGATAACTTAGATGTCGAAAATTAAAACTTTTAATTGTTGAAAAGTCTTTAAGTTATAATCTGATAGAACAAAACTTCATGTTCAATAATGGAAAGATAGAGCAAAGGGAATCGAAACAAAAAGCTCGAAAATTTTTCTGCTAATATTTGCGTCACATTGACCGAAATAAAGTTTTTTCCAAAAGAAAAAAAAATCCTAATAAGAAAGGTCAATCGATGAAACACTTAATTATTTATTTAAAAATTTGGGAAAAGTTTTCTCGATCTTGTTTGCTTCCACAGGAATTTGAATAGAGTACATGCGTGAAAGTTAGCAAGTTTAAAAGTAAAATATTTT